AAAACTGCCTTTCTTCTTGAGGGGGGTTTGTGTGGGAACCAATGAGGGGAAATGTAGGGAGAAATGCTTCTTTTATATATATATAATTTACCAAGGTTATTTATAAAACTGAAAATCTCTCATTTCAGAAGCAGAGTCCTCTTGTGAAACCTCAGAGCTATAGACAGCTCTCATTCAGTTCTAAACAACGTGCCTGGGCCTCTGCATCTGATATTTTGATAATCTACACCTTTGTTGTCAGGGTGAGTCCTTGCTATTACCAAGACCTGACCCTTAACCAAAAAAAAAAAAAGTGGCCCGGCCAGTGTGGCTCAGTGGATTGAGCGTTGTCTGTGGACTGAGAGGTCCTGGTTCAATTCCCCGTCAGTGCACATGCCTGGTTTCGGGCTCGATCCCCAGAATGGGGTGTGCAGAAGGCAGCCGATCCATGTTTCTCTCTCTCCTTTCCTCTCTTAAAAAAAGAAAATCTATCAAAACATATTAAATTTTTTTTCCCTGGGTATTCAACCAATAGGCCAGTGCTAAAGTTCCATTATATAGTGAAGAAAGTACTAGGTTTAACTGATTAATATTTAATTAAATCTAGAATTGGAATAAACAACATTGGGAAGTTTTTATACTACAGACTCCTCAGCTCAATCCAAGACCTACTAAATCAATTTCTAAAAGTAGGGAAGAGAATCATGATAAATGAAAAGGAGAAAATGGGGAAAACTACAACATAAAACATAATCCTGCAACTGTTTGTTCATTTACAAAGGGCTGTTTTCCCCTCAAATACCAGGGAGAAAAGTTGGAAGTCAGTAAATTGGATAATGGTAAAAAATTTTGGAAAATGAATGTATTTTTGTTTTTGCTAAAAAAGAATTAGTGGTCTGGCCAGTGTGGCTCACTGGTTCAGCATCGACTCATGTACTAAGAGGTCACCAGTTCAATTCCTGGTTAAGCAAGGCACATACCCAGGTTGTGGGCCCGATCCCCTGTGGGGGGCATGGAAGAGGCAGCCAATCAATGTTCTGTCATCAATGTTTCTCTCCCTTTCCCTTCTTCTCTCTCAAACATCAATAAAGAAAAAAAATTTTTTAAAAAAGAGCGAGAGAATTAGTGCCCTGGCCTGTGGGGCTCAGTGGTTAAAGCACTGACCCACAGACGAAAGGGTCTTAGGTTCAATTCCCAGTCAAGGGCACATGCTTGGGTTGCAGGTTCACAGGTTCAATCCCCCTCCCTGGTTGAGGCATGTATGGGAGGCAACCTATCTATGTGTCTCCCTCATGGAAATGTTTCTCTCTCTCCCTCCCACTCTCTTTAAAAATCAATGGAAAGCCCTGGCCAGTTTGGCTCAGCGGTTAGAGCGTCGGCCTGCGGTCCGGAGAGACCCGGGTTCGGTTCCCGCTAAGGGCACGTACTTCGGTTGCAGTTTGTCCCCGGCCCTGGTTGGTCGTGCGGGTGGCAGCCACTCGATGTGGCCCTTCACATCGATGTTTCTCTCTCTCTCCCCCTCCCACTCTATCTGTACGAAAAATGGAAAAATATCCTCGAGTGAGGATAAAAATAAATAAAAAAAAATCAATGGAAAAAGTATCCTCGGATAAGGATTAAAATAATAATTACTTTTGTTTTATTTATTTATTTTTTAACAATGAGAAAGGGAAAGAGAAACACAGATGGAGAGAAATATCAATTGGTTACTTCCTGAGCATACCCCAACTAGGGATCAAACGCACAACCTGGGTATGTGCCCTGACAGGAATTGAATTTGCAACATTTTGATGTATGGGACACTCCAACCCATCCACACCAGCCAGGGCAACCTGGACATTTTAAAAATTACCAAGTGTAGCCCTGGCCGGTTTGGCTCAGCAGATGGCACATCAGCCTGTGGACCAGAGAGTCACGGGTTCGGTTTCTGCTAGGCCATAGCGGTCAGGGACACATACCAAAAAAAAAAAAAAAGTAAAATTACCAAGTGGGAAGACATGATTATCTGGCTGATGAAAATTCTGATACAATGGTTTAGAAAATTACTTTCTTTTTTTATCCTCACCGGAGAACATTTTTTTGTTCAGACAGAGTGGGAGGAAGAGAGAGAAACATCGTGAAAGGGACACATCGAGTGGCTGCCACCCGCATGACCCAACTAGGACCAGGGACAAACTGCAACCGAGGTATGTGCCTAGTGGGAACTGAACCCGGGTCCCTCTGGATTGCAGGCCGACTCTCTAACCGCTGAGGCAAATTGACCAGGGCATTACTCTCAGTTTTCAACAACAATGTAAAACTGGAAGTTAAAAATGTACTTTTAGAGTAAAAGGTAAAATACACCACGCTGACAAAACAACTTGTGCATAAGAGAAGTCTTGATTTTTCCAGGTTTGAAAACAAGGTCAGTGTTAGACTTTTCTGAATTTTACACCCCCCCAAAAAAAGTTCTCTTGACTTTTTAAAGCAGTATTATACAGATTACTACAAAATTCTAACTGAGCTGAAGAATGGTTCAAACATTTTTCAAAGGGTAGCACACTTATATAGTGGTAAATTCAAAATGGAAAGTTTCCCATGGGGATGATGCAACTCATAAAGGAAAGTGAAACAAATACTTCAGGTGATGATGAAATTCTTGCTTCCTAAGATGACATATCCAGTAATCACAACAATTTATAGGAAAGCAAGTCTTCCTTGGCCCTGGCCGGTTTTGCTTAGCGGTTAAAGCAACAGCCTGCAATCCAGAGGGACCCGGGTTGGGTTCCCGCTAAGGGCACATACCTCGGTTACAGTTGGGCCCCGGCCCTGGTTGGTCGTGCAGCCCGCAGCCACTCGATGTGTCCCTTTCACATCGATGTCTCTCTCCCTCCCACTCTATCGGAACAAAAAATGGAAAATGTCCGTGGGTGAGGGAAAAAAAATAGTCTTCCTTGAATACTTCATGTATATCATTCTCACCACAAAATTCTTTACATTTTCTGAGTCTCTGAAGTAACTCGTTTCTCCACCTAGTTTTTTTTTTTTTTTTTTTTACAGATAGAGTGGGAGGGAGGGAGAGGGGGAGGGAGGGAGAGAGAGAGAGAGAGAGAAACATTGACGTGAAAGGGACACATCGAGTGGCTGCCACCCGCACGACCAACCAGGGCCGGGGACAAACTGCAACCGAAGCACGCGCCCTTAGCGGGAACTGAACCCGGGTCTCTCCGGACCGCAGGCCAACGCTCTAACCGCTGAGCCAAACTGGCCAGGGCTCCACCTAGTTTTTTAAAGAGATATTTCATGGCCCTGGAGGGGCAGCTCAGATGGTTCGAGCATCGTTCCAATATGCCTAGGTTGCGGGTCCAATCTCTGAACAAGGCACATGAAAGAAAGCAATGAATACATAAATAAAATAGGAAAACAGCCCTGGCCGGTTTGGCTCAGCGGTTAGAGCGCCAGCCTGCAGACCAGAGAGTCCCGGGTTCGGTTCCCGCTAAGGGTACATACCTCGGTTGCAGTTTGTCCCCACCCTGGTGGGGTCATATAGGGGGCAACCAGTTGACATGTCTCTCACATCGATGTTTCTCCCTGTCTCTTCCCCCCTCTCCATGTCGCTCTATCTGAAAATAAATGCAATAAAATAAAATGGGACAATAAATCGATCTCTCTCTCTCACTTCTCTCTAAAAATCAATACATTTTAGCCCGGCCGGTGTGGCTCAGTGGATTTAGCATGATCCCATGGACTGAGAAGTTCCAGTTCAATTCCAAGTCCAGACACATGCCTGGGCTGTGGGCTTGATCCTTAGTAGCGGGCATGCAGGAGGCAGCCAATTGATGTCTCTCTCATATCGATGTTATTGTCTGTCTCTAAAAAAATGAATAAAGCCCTGGCCAGTTTGGCTCAGCGGTTATGAGCATCGGCCTGCGGTCCAGAGAGACCCGGGTTTGGTTCCCGCTAAGGGCATGTGCCTTGTTTGCAGTTTGTCCCGGCCCTGGTTGGGTTGTGCGGGAGGCGGCCACTCGATGTGTTCCCTTTCACGTTGATGTTTCTCTCTCTCTTCTTCTCTTTCCCTCCCACTCTATCTGACCAAAAAATGGAAAAATGTCCTCAGGTGAGGATAAAAAAAAAAAAAAAAGGCCCTGGCCGGTTTGGCTTAGCGGTTGGAGCGTCAGCCCGCGGTCCTGAGAGACCCGGGTTCGGTTCCTGCTAAGGGCACATACCTCGGTTGCAGTTTGTCCCCGGCCCTGGTTGGTTGTGCAGGTGGCAGCCACTCGATGTGTTCCTTTCGCATCGATGTTTCTCTCTCTCTCTCTCTGTTCCTCTCTCTCCCTCCCACTCTACCTGAACAAAATATGGAAAGGTGTCCTCGGGTGAGGATAAAAAAAAAAAAGAATTAAAACATATTAAAAATAAGTAAATTTAAAAAATATAATAGCAGCATACAGAATCCACATTTCATCACAGTAAATTAAAATACAACCTTTACTTGGGTTACAAAGCATCTCGGTAAATGAGAAAAAGACTTTGCACAGCTCTACTTCCACTTTGTTTGAATGCTGAGTAATGCAGTCATACACCTTACTTTTGCTCACTCAGTACATTGTGAGTCACTACTACAATTCTTTGGTTCCTGCCTTTGAATACCTATTAACTGGGTTTTATATGAACTGCGTCTCAGATTCTGAGGACACAGAGGACATTATATAAAATGTTGGCTTCTGATACCGAAGAGAAACTTCAGTAACAATAGACCCCCTTTACAGGACAACAAAGCACAGGAAAAACAGATGTGGTGTGATTGCTATTTAGCAGTAAGACATGTTATGTTAGTCTCCATTTTTATAGTGCCACAAAGATAGAAAGCTGGTGGCATGTGATGTCTTGAAGGACATCAGTGGCACCACAAGATGTGCACCTCGTGCTCCAAATTACATTACCATGCCGTTCCAAGATAACAAACATATTAGGTGACAAGAAAGTGAGGTATAAATACCATTAAGAAATGCCATACTTAGATTTTTCAATGATTCCGTTTATTCACATATATTTAAAACTTCACACTTCTAAGTGAAAATCTGTCAAACATTTAGAATTGTGTATTTTTGGTACCCATATCCATAAAGTTATGGCTTCCCTTTATAGCATTACTTCAAGGGGCACATGTTTCAAATGTCTTTAAATTGTTAGGTTTATTCACAAGAGAAATTCTACAAAATACAATATGGTTGCATTACTTGCTAAAGGCTGTCCCGTATTTAATATTTTCATAAAATTTCATTCCTGAGGGCATTTTATTATGTACAATGAGCTATTAATTTCTTTATGAAATCATTACCTCAAGTGCCACATTTATGGGGGTTTCCTTCACTCACTGGACTAGGATTTATGACCGTGGGAATATTTCTAACAGCTAATGAGAAGGCCTCCAGAAGGCTTTCTGATATTCACAGTATTCCTCCTTGCTATATTTTCTACTGTACAAGGCCTGACTACAATATGAAAGGTTTTTAAAACACTCTGCATTTCATAGGCCCATTCCACTCATGAATTATGATACATAAAACTGTTAATCTGATGAAAGTTTCCCCACATAACTTCAATTACAGTTCCTACCCCCAAAGAGCACTCAAACATATAATGTGATATGTGAATATTAACTGTCAAAGAAGAATATTAATTCCATGTCTATGATTTCTTTACTGTGTGAGTTCTCTGATGATTAATGAGCTGTGACTTTTGGGAGAAAGCTTTCCCACATTCATTGCATTGATAAGGCTTTTCTCCAGTATGAATTCTCTGATGATTAACAAGCTGTGACTTCTGAGAGAATGCCTTCCTACATTCAGTACATCCATAGGGTTTCTCTCCTGTGTGTGTCCTCTGATGTGGTATCAGGTGTGACTTCCGAGAGAAGGCTTTGCCACATTCGTTGCATTCAAATGGTTTCTCTCCTGTATGTATTCTGTGATGATTGATGAGACTGGATTTCTCCCTGAAGGTTTTTCTACATTCACTACATTCATAAGGTTTTTCGCCTGTATGAGTTCTCTGATGTCTAATTAGCTCCGACTTCTCAAAGAAAGCTTTCCTACAGAGACTGCATTCATAGGGTTTCTCCCCCGTGTGAATTCTCTGGTGAGTATTGAGCTGTGATTTCTGGGCGAAGGCTTTTTCACAATCCCTGCATTCATACGGTTTTTCTCCTGTATGAGTTCTCTGATGAGTTGCAAGACTTGACTTCTCTCCAAAGGCTTTCCCACATTCAGTGCATTCATAGGGTTTCTCTCCTGTATGTGTCCTTTGATGTGAGATGAGATGGGACTTCTGACAAAAGGCTTTCCCACATTCACTGCACACGTAAGGTTTTTCTCCTGTATGAATTCTCTGGTGATTAGTGAGGCTTAATTTTTCACTGAAAGCTTTCCCACATTCACTGCATTCATACGGTTTTTCTCCTGTGTGTGTTCTCTGGTGTCTAACAAGCTGGGATTTCCTGCTGAAGGCCCTCCCACATTTATTGCATACAAAGGGTTTCTCTCCTGTGTGTGTCATTTGATGTGATATCAAGTGTGACTTCTGGGAGAAGGCTTTTCCACACTGAATGCATCCATGAGGTTTCTCTCCTGTATGGGTTCTCTGATGATTGATGAGACTTGACCTCTCTCTGAATGCTTTCTGACATTCACTGCATTCATAGGGCTTCTCTCCAGTATGAATTGTCTGATGTCTTATGAGCTCTGATTTCTCAAAGAAGGCTTTTCTACAATCGCTACACCCATAAGGTTTTGTTCCTGTGTGTGTTCTGTGATGTGTAACAAGTTGTGACTTCCTGCTAAAAGCTTTCCTACATTCTCTGCATTCAAACGGTTTCTCTCCTGTATGAATTCTCTGATGATTAATGAGATTTGACTTTTCACTAAAGGCCCTCCCACATTCATTGCATACATACGGCTTTTCTCCTGTGTGTGTCCTCCAATGTGATATGAGATGTGACTTCCGGGAGAAGGCTTTCCTACATTCACCACACTCATATGGTTTCTCTCCTGTATGTGTCCTCTGATGGGATCTGAGTTGTGACTTTTGGGAGAAACCTTTCCCACACTGGCTACAATGATAAGGTTTCTCTCCTGTATGAATTCTGTGATGTGTAATAAACTGCGACTTCTGGGGAAAGGTTTTGCCACACTTACCACAGCCATAGGCTATCTCTCTTATATGTCTGGTCTGGAGCTTAATGAGGCTTGATTTTTTACTGAACTGTTTCCTACATTCACTGCATTCATAAAGTTTCTCTCCTAAATGAGTTCTGTGATATATGATAATCTGTGATTTCTTATAGCTAACATTGTCATATTTTTCACAATCATAGTAGTTTAACCTAGTATCAGGTTCCTCAGGCTTGGTATGGAGAAACAATTTATCAAATACATTTAAGTCATCTGGTTCCATTTTTCCACAATCAGCTTTTGGAAGAAGTAAATCTAAATGATGTTTTAAAATTAATCCATATACATCACCTTCATTGTTTGATTTCCTTAAAGGAGCAAAATTTATGCTCAGATTCAAATGTTTTCCAAATGCATCACATTCATGATCTAGTTTTATATTTTTAGGCTTCTCTTGGTTATCCTGGTGCCACATCATGTGACCATTTACTTGCGAGACTTGTTCTGTAAAGCAAAAAAAAAGTCCTATGAATCCTTACATGGTTGTGCTGAATAAAAAAAATTAAAATGCTATTTAAGGGAATTAATGCTTAAAAAAATTTTTTTTTCTTTATTTATTTTAGAGAGATAGGAAGGGGGAGAGAGAGGGAGAAATATCAGTGAGAGAAAACATCAATTGTCCACCTCCTGCACACCGTCCAGGGGAATCTGGCCCACAACCCGGGTACCTGCCCTGACTAGGAATTGAACCGGTGAATGGGACGACGCTCAACCACTAAGCCACACTGGCCAGGGTGATAAATGCTTTTTAAGACTTAGTTTCCTAGTCTGAAATAAGCCCCAAGAATAATGTCTGTACAATAAAAGAAATGTAAACAAGAAACAGATCGTAGATTAAGATATCTTTGGTTGTTATTAAATTTAACTTTATAAAATGGGGAGAGAATGTGAAAAATACATGAAGAACAATGAGGAATAAAGAAAGACGTTGAAAGAAGCATTAATCCCATGTTCTGAAGAATTAATTTACTCAGTACCTGCTTAGTATACACTATGTTCCACGTGGCACTGGAGACACACAAGAACAATCCCCAGCCAAAATGAAACTTACCTTCTGGTGAAAAAGATAATAGTATCTTTTAAAAACACAACTGTAGCCCGGATGGTGTGGCTCAGTGATTGAGCACTGACCCATGTACCAAAAGGTCGCTAGTTTGATTCCCGGTCAGGGCACATACCCAGGTTCTGGGCCCAATCCCCAATTGGGGTCATGTAGAAAGCAGCCAATCGATATTCTCTCTCATCAATGTTTCTCTCTCTCTCTCTCTCTCATTAATAAAGAAAAAAAACTTTAAAAAATGTGTTAAATAAAATAAAAAATAAAAACACACTGTTCAATGTGATAAACACTGCAAAGAAAACTAACAGTTTTGGCCCTGGCCAGTTTTGCTCAGCGGTAAGAGCATAGGCCTATGGAGCAGAGTGCCAGGTTCGATTCTGGTCAAGGGCACGTACCTCGGTTTCAGTTTGTCCCTGGCTCCAGTTGGGGTGGTGCGGGTGGCAACCAATCGATGTGTCTCTCTCTCTTCCTCCCTCCCTCCCTCCCTCCCATTCTGTCTGAAGATAAATGGAAAAATATTCTTGAGGATTAAAAAATAAATAAAATAAAATCTAACAGTTTTGACAGAGTAATGGCCTAGCCATTTCAAACTTCAAGAATGAAAAATATATTATGTACTTTTCCCATTCTCAAATTGTGTGAAATTTTATTATAATTTTTTATCCTCACCCGAGGACATTTTTCCATTTTTTGTTCAGATAGAGTGGGAGGGAGAGAGAGAGAGAAACATCGACGTGAAAGGGACACATCGAGTAGTTGCCAACTGCATGACCCAACCAAGGTCAGGGACAAACTGCAACCGAGGTACGTGCCCTTAGTGGGAACCGAACCCAGGTCTCTCTGGACCGCAGGCTGACGCTCTAACCGCTGAGCCAAACCAGCCAGGGCAAATTGTGTGAAATTTTAATTTAAACTTACCATATACAGTCTTCCCTCATATTTGTGGGTTCCACCTCTGCAGATTCAACAAATCGCAAATTGAAAATATTTGCAAAAAAATATTACGTTGTTGCTGAAGTGTAATATGTAATTAGGCCAAATTGGTTGCATTTATACTGAACATTTACAGACTTTTCCCAATGTCATAATTCCCTAAACAATACAATGACTAATTACGTAGCATTTACAACGCATTAGGTACTATAAATGATTTAGAGATGATTTAAAGTTTATAAGAGGATGTGTGTAGGTTATATGAAAATACTGTGCCATTTTACATAAGGGGCTTGAGCATCCTTGAATTTTGTTATTCAGAGGAGGTCCTAAAACCAATCCCCCACAGATATTGAGGAATGACTGTACCTTTTCAACATTATTACCAAGAAAGCCACCTCATATAACACATTACAAAACATATCTTTCATGTAAACTATTCAAGTGCAAAAGGTTAAAAATCTGCACTGGCCAGTTTGGCTCAGCGGTTGAGCGTCAGCCTGCGGACCAGAGAGAACCAGGTTCGGTTCCTGCTAGGGGCATGTACCACAAAAAAAAAAGGCTAAAATCTATGTGTTCTTTCACTAAAAGTGTCCCAAGACACAAGTTCCCCTACATAAAATATTCTGACAGCCCTGGCTGGTTTGGTTCAGCGGTCGGCCCGCGGACCAGAGTCCCAGGTTTGGTTCCCACTAAGGTCACGTAACTCGGTTGCAGTTTGTCCCTGGCCCTGGTTGGGTCATGTGGGTGGCAATCAATCGATGTGTCCCTATCACATTGATGTTTCTCTCTCTCTCTCTCTCTCTCTCTCTCCCTCCCACTTATCTGAACAAAATATCAAAAAAATAAAAAATAAATAAAAATATGATTATAATGTGTCACATAACTGAAGAACTGAAGATATTAAATTATAAGCCCTTGTGTCTAAGTGTGCAAACAAGGCTCAGGAACCAACCAACTAAAACGTATTACATACAATGTGGTCAAGTCAGGGATGGGAATTCAGAAAAAATAAGAAAACTAGGCTGGAGCAGTCAAGGAACATTTCATGCACTGAAAACAGCTTGCGCAGAAAGGATTGAGAGTTTCTGGATAAAGAAAGCATAGCACAATCGAAAGCTCAGATGCAGAGAAGAAAACACTGAGAAACATTTGAACACAGTTGGAGCTGCCTGAGAGTTTGAAGGAAGGGGGAGCAGTAAACAGACAGCACAGGCTCACACCCAGGAGCTGGACAAAGAGACTACATGCTGTAGCTGTTCTTGTTGCCTCATCTACACCCCTCAGCTACATCCAGCAGACACCTGCAGCTTGGGTGGATGGTGGCACCAACCCAGGCACCCATATCTCTCCACTTGAGAACTTTCCTAGGCTACAAGTGCACACACGGTCTGCAGGCAGGGATGCTGGACTTCCTGAAGACAATGTTCCCTGGAGCAATGCTCAACCAGAGATGGGAGGTGGAGGATGATGGCCAGCTTCTTGGTTCCTCAGAGGGTGCTCAGCAGCACCAAGTGCCCAATGCACACCCTTCACTGATATCCCTCCCACTCCCATCTCACTTCACTTTTTCCCACTACACCACAGGGATCACACCCCCAATGAATTCTTGCCCTCAGATACATATCTCGGGGTCTGCTTCTGAGGGAACCTGAAGTTGGTCAATGTCACGTAGCAGCTAATGAAACAGAAAGGTGTAACCGATCAAAGTAGTGTTGCCTGCTTTAGGAACTTAGAATATAGTGGTATTGTTTAACTTATAATAGAAAATTAGAATCTGGATCTCTCTAGCAATTTGGGAAATTCAGGAATGAGATATCATGGGCCTAGTTTTCAATGGAAGTTGAAGAGGGAAGGCTTCACAAAGATAGTATTTCCAAAGGGGAAAAAACTTAAGAAAGAATGCTTGAGATAATTCAATGTACTCGTTGATATCTGATTTACAGAAAAAGCACAGCAGAACCTGGTCAAAAAGGGAGGAAGAGAACAAACTCTTTGGGAGGAAATGATGACTCCATTCTGTAACATAAAACTGAACAGAGTGGGCTTTCACAGGGTATTTCTGGGCATCAGACACACCCAAAATGAAGAAAAAGATAAAGGCCCGGCTGTTGTGGCTCAGTGGTTAAGCGTTGACCCTGCATCAAGAGGTCGCCAGTTCGATTCCTGGTCAGGGGACACGCCCAAGTCGTGGGCCCAATCTCCATTGGGGGGCATGCAGGAGGCGGCCAATCAATGATCTCTCTCATCGATGTTTCTATCTCTAATCAGTAAAGAAAAAAAAATTGTTTTAATAATAAAAATAAAAAGATAAAAGTTCTTAAATTTACAAGCACAGGTGTCTTTGACCAGAGGGTAAGCGAGGACAGAAGGTGAGTAAATACATCAGAGGCAGAAACCCAAACAAAAAGTCAAAGCCCAAGAGGAGACAGATGGAAGAAGACATCACGGCCCAAACAAGTTGAAACATTTCCCTTTAAGCTGCCACATGTGATGGGATTTACCTGAGTAGCTCATGTCCAAGGTTTGGAGATTGGAAAGAACTTTTCCGTAGCACATTTTAGGGACCCCACCCACTGCCCGCCCAGTTGAGACTGCACTTCCTCCTTCTCCTGCCAGTGTGGTTCTCATTCACTCACCTTCACAGTCTGAACTTGGAATGTGTCCATCTCCTATCCATGGCTCTTCTCCTCGTTCCAACTTGAAGATGACATCAGGTTTCATAAATTCATACCCTGATTTGAGGGAAATCACAAAGGCTTTGGCCCTGAATGCTTGGGCTTTAGGGCCTGAGAAATGGGCAATGTCTGGCATCAGAGTTCATACAGTTAAAAGCTAACCACCTTTATATCAACAAGAGTAAATAATTCTCAAATGATAATGGTCTCCGTGGTGGCTAATAGGGTCTAATAATCTTTGACTTTTATGATTCACATCCAAAACCATCAAACACCTCAGAGGCTTTGGAGCCAAGCTGCCTGGGTTCAAATCCAGGCTCTTCTATTTACTAGCTGTCAGTCCCTGGGGAAATTACTTAAGTTTTCTTCGCTCCAATTTCATTAGAAAACAAAGGAGAATAATCGCACCTGTCACACAGGATCACTCTGATGATCAACGGAGTCCACACTTGAAGAGCATATAGAATACACTGAGTTATCTGCACTAGGTGCTACCACTGCCACCATGACTATGATTCTAACTTTCAGAGTCTGCACAATGAAATTAAGACTTCATCACTGGAAAATGAGATCCAAAAAGTTTCCCTGGTGTCACAGTCTAAAAAAGTTTGATCTCCTATATTTATGTCCAAAATCATTAACAATTTCTGGAGGCCCACAGCTCTCAGCAACTAACACAGAAAAAGCAATGTATTGGGCAAAAATAGGTCCTCCGGGGAGTTCTTCTTACCCAGTGCCACTAGGCTGCTATAGTTCTCCAACATGACATCCTTGTATATGTCCTTCTGACAGGAATCCAGCAGTTGCCATTCCTTTTGGGTGAAGTCCACAAATAAATCCTCAAATGAGACGGACTCCTGTAAAAGCACAGCCGCAATGAATCTGAGCAGTTACCACCATGAAGCAGAAAAGCGGCGTTGGAGTGCAAGCACGTTGTTCTTGCCAGTGATGACGGAGACTGCCTACGGGGCCCTGCCTTTGTGTCACACTGTGGGGTACATGCCATTCTGCCTTCTTCCATCCTTCCGTTTATATAATTCACAGGAACTGAACCACACAACTTAAAATTTTCTGAACCACCAACAAAATACTCTCAAATTTGGCACCAGAAGAGGTGCTGGCAAAATTAAAAAAATAAAACTTCACATATTCTGTTACATTAAAATCTATTGTTTTATCTTGTTCTTTGAATGAATCAGTATTCCATTAATGATTTTACAGCATATGCATTGGGCATGTGGAAAATACTGGTTTCCTGAGTTAAAAATCTCTCTCTCTCTCTCTCACACACACACACACAAACAAAATGGTTTTACCTGTTAATTCTGTAAACATTTAATGCAGAAGTAATTCCAATTTTACTGAACTCTTCCAGAGTATGGAAGAATATAACCCTAAATAATCCCCAATCTCCTGAAACCAGCATAACCCTGGTAACAAGACCCAGTAGGGATACTACAGGAATGAAAAAGCAAAAACCAACTCACACAAAAACTCTCATGGAAATCCTAAACACAGTAGTACCAAACTGTACTGAGCAACAGATAAAGAAGAAAATACATTACAATCAGGTTGATTTACCATTTAAAAAAAAAAAATCAATGACATTCACTACCTTAATAGAGTAAGAAAAAATATATAATCACCTCAATAGACACAGTCACAGGAACTGCAAATAGAGAAAAATCTAAGAGTTTTAAAAAGCACATTTATGTCCGGCCAGTGTGGCTCAGTGGTTGAGCGTGAACCCATGCGCCAAGAGGTGGCCAGTTCGATTCCCAGTCAGGACACATGCCCAGGTTGTGGGCCTGACCCCTGGTGGGGGGCATGCAGGAGGGGGCCAATCGATGTTCTCTCTCGTCAATGTTTCTATCTCTCCCTCCCCTCCCTTCCTCTCTCTCTAAAAATCAATAAAGAAAAATTTTTTTTAAAAAAGCACATTTAAAATTTTCAAAAATAAAGACCAGATTTCATAAAGAAAAAATAGTGTGGAAAAAGAACAAGCAGATAAAAAAAATTAATAAAATAATTAACATTTATGTTATAAAAAATCTTGGCAGCCTGGTATGGCTCAGTGGATTGAGCGTTGTCCCGTGGGACTGAGAGGTCCCAGTTTGATTCTTGGTCAGGGCACATGCCGGGGTTGTGGGCTCGATCCCCTGTGGGAGCCATGCAGGAGGTGGCTGATCGATGTCTCTCTTTCCCTTCCTATTTTTTTTTTTTATTATTATTTAAATGTCTTTTTCTTTATTGATTTTATTTTATTTTTTATCCTCACCTGAGGATATTTTTCCATTTTTTTGTTCCGGTAGAGTGGGAGGGAGAAAGAGGGAGAGAGAGAGAAAAACATCAACATGAAAGGGACACATCATGTGGCTGCCACACGCACGACAAACCAGGGCCGGGGACAAACTGCAACCAAGGTATGTGCCCTTAGCGGAAACCGAACCCGGGTCTCTCTGGACCACAGGCCAACGCTCTAAGCGCTGAGCCAAACCGGCCAGGACTCTTTATTGATTTGAGAGAGGAAGGAAAAGAGAGAGAGACAGAAACATCGATGAGAGAGAGAACATCGATTGGCTGCCTCCTGCATGCCCTCAACTAGGAATTAGGCCCACAACCTGGGCATGTGCCCTGACCAGGAATCAAACCAGCAACCTCTTGGTGCATGGGCTGATGCTCAACCACTGAGCCACACCTGTCAGGTGCTTCCTCTCTCTCTAAGAAATCAATAAAAACATATAAAAGTCTTGCCAAACTAGAAATTCAGTGGAATTTTGTTTCACTAAAAAAAAAAAAAAAAAAAAAAATTATTGCCCTGGCCCATGTGGCTCAGTTGGTTAGAGTGCCATCGTCCCATACACTGGAAGACTGTGGGTTCGATTCCCAGTCAGGACACATACCTACGTTAAGGGTTTGATCCCTGGATGTGGTGCATATGGGAGACAACCAATCAATGTATCTCTCACATCTCTGTGTTTCTCTCCCCGCCCACCTCCCTTCCTCTCCCCCTAAAATCAATTAAAAAAATATATATATATATTGTTGATATTTTTGTGAACAGGGAAAATCTAATAAAGTATAAAAAAAATTATTAGAATTAATAAGTAGACTTAAAAAGTTCCTGGATATTGCCCTGGCGTGTTTGGCTCAGTGGTTAGAGCGTCGGCCTATGGACCAAAGGGTCTTGGGTTCAATCCCAGTCAAAGGCACATACCTGGGTTGCAGATTCAATCCCCAGCCCTGGATGGGGAGGCAACCAATTGATGTGTGTCTCTCACATCAACGTCTCGCTCGCTCTCTCCCTCCCTCCTTCCCTTCTACTCTCTCTAAAAATCAATGGAAAAATATCTTTGGGAGAGGCTTAACAACAAAAACAAAAAGAGAAGTTCCTGAATATAAAGTTAATATGCAAAAATCTGCAATATGACCATGTTTGGCAACAAAAACTTTAAAAAATAGATGAATTTTAAGATGCTACTTACTATAGAAATGGGTAATTGCAGGTCTGGGACACAAAAGTGTACAAACTGAGCCTTGATATACCTTGCCAAGCTAAAAAGCAGTGTTCTAGTTAATAAAAAAGAAATGAGAAAAGTTGGACGTTATCACTTTGCAACTGCTAATGAAAGGCTCCATCCTAAATAATGAAGATCTAAAGCTGGGAGCGTGACAAAAAGAGACAAGCAGACATGATGAGCCTCATGAAGGGACATACCACCACCTCTGTACCAGTCATGCCAAAAACGAATACTTGGATGATCAAGTCTCTATGTCAGATCTGTCCAACTTTCTAAGGTGCTGGAAATATTCTTTATCTGTGCTATCCAATTCCTGGCTCTCTAATTTATGTCTACTGAAAACAAGGCTAGTGTGACTGAGGAATGTAATTAACTTACATTTAAACTATCCACACATAGCCAGCAGCTTTTCTGTACAAGACAGCACAGCTCTAAATGTGCCCACATACAGGAAACACACTCTGGGGATGCAATGAGCAAAATCCAGACAGTGGGAAACTACAGAATAAAGGACATGGCTTCTTAAACAAATAATATGGCTAGAAAATGTAAAAACACCCAACAGATTAAAAGACTTAAGCCCTGGCCAGTTTAGGTCAACGGTTAGAGTGTCATCCTGTGGGCTGAAGAGTTGCAGCTTCAATTTCCAGTCAAGGGCATGTACTTAGGTTGCAGGTTCAATCCCTGATGGTTGTTTGGGAGGCAATCAATCGGAAGGGGTGGGTGGGTGGGTGGGTATGTGTATGTGTATGTGTCTCTCTCTCTCCTTCCCTCTCTTCCATTCCATCTAAAAATCAATGGAAAAATATCTTTGAGTTAGGATTAACAACAACAAAAAAGAGACTTAAGAGATAAATTAACTGATTGCATTGTATAAATTCTATTGCACTGTATAGATTCTAGTTCTAACAAACTAGAAACAGTTTATGAATTTTGAAACCACTGGAAATTTAAACACTGACTGAATTTGGTGACAGATATTAACAAGCTGCCTTATTCTATTTTACATCCTCACCCCAGGATATTTTTTCCATGGATTTTTAGAGAGAGTGGAAGGGAGGAGGGAGGGAGACACAGACAGACAGACATCGACTGCCTTCCGCATGCACCCAGACTGGGGCCAAGGATTGAACCTGCAACCCACGTATGCACCCTTGACCCACAATCGAACGCGAGACCCTTCAGAGCGCAGGCCGACGCTCTAACCACTGAGCCACACTGACCAGTCCCTATTTGTAACAAATGCCAAAATTTGAAAACCAACAGTACAGCGCACATTCAGTAATTATGAATATTATATTCAGTAATTATGGCTTATAAAAATTAAAACCTTAAGATGTCTCAAAGCCCTGTAATTAATGTATTCCTGCTCTAATTTTGTCCCAATCCAGATCTCTTCTGAGGCTATTTTCCAGACTGGTTAGCTATTTATATTTTTCATTTTGCTGGAAGACTTACACACTTCTAATCTCTGGAAAAATAATGAGGAATAAACAATCCACTCACCTGTAACAGGGTCATTTTCTGTTCCCTGCATGAAATGATCAGCAGGTCTGAGATCTTTCTATCCCGTATTTCTTCTGCTTGTGCCCCAGAACGCGGTGTGTGAGGTCCTGGCTAGGTCTTACACTGGGAATGAATTCTTGGCTCCAGGAACTCCCTTTTTATCTTCAAGAGCAGGCTCATTTGTGGGGAAGCAGAACCTGTGGGCTTAGGGACAAACGTACTTCAACTGGTATATTCACACTGCAGCTAAAATCTTTCCCTCTAGCTAAGAACTAGGAATTCATGACAATCTAAGGCTAGAGTATGTTTTCGATATAACTGAAACATCTATTGGGAAGGAATGGGATAGATAAAGTGTAACTGAGCAACAGAAGACTGTCTCTGCAAACAGATAAAGAAATATCAGAAATTAAGTAAGTCTGAGATGCATTTAATGTTCACTGTGGACAGTGAAATATGTCACTTTAAGAAATGCTGTGGCCCCGGCCAGTGTGGCTCAGTCGGTTGGAGCGTTGTCCTGTATACCAAGTGGTGCTGGGTTCAATTCCCAGTCAGGGCACATACCCAGGTTATGGGTTTGATCCCTGGTTGGGCATGTAAAAACCTGTTTGGTTAAAAAATGTCAATCCTAAATCACACATACACACACACACACCTGGTTGGGCATGTAAAAACCTGTTTGGTTAAAAAATGTCAATCCTAAATCTCACACACACACACACACACACACACACCCAAGCCAGGAAAATATTCCCACAACAAATTTGTCATTTCCTTTGAATTATGCTTTTACTTCTCATTTCATGTAATAAAAATCTGGCATTGTAATGAATAAACCTGTGCTTATCATGAAAGCCATTTCATTAAGCATGGAGCCAAATTCATAATGCTGTTTTAAACTTTCCTTTGTAATTCTGTCAGAGTCCTGGTGAAGTTTAGTTTGTTTTCAGTGAGAACTTCTAAAGAGTAGAGAGACTTACATCGAAAGAAGGTAAATGTGCTGCAGATAATATACAGAATTGAGAATTTCAGGTGAACAGATGTGATAAGCCATTAGTATGGCAGTTTGAAAATATTTCTGATGAAATTGAAGATTCTTACTCAGAACAATGAAGACTCACCCTTATTTTACTTTAATTTAAAAAATGTTTTTGGAAGTTGGCCCCTGAGGGAGAGGTTCCGCCCTGAACTATTCTATTTGGCTCTCACATATCTCTCATCAAATGGAAACCTAAGCCCTTCGTTGTTTTGTTTGGTTTTTACCTTGGCAGTTTCCTGCACAACATTGCAGCTTTCCGTGATGGCTCTCAGTTATCCTCAGAAGGAAACGCCAGCCTTCATCATCATTTGTGGTTCCACTCAGCATCAAGTTCTGAAGGAATTTTAGGAGAAAAGTACAGAATAATTAAAAGTAACATTTAGACTTACTACATGTCGATGTCTTATACACCACACTGCTCTTACTGCATTCAGCACACCGGCTCAGCAACTTGCCCATCAATGACACACCTCTGAAGTAGCAGATCTGGGCCACTGCTCACATGCAGTCTACCCCAGAGCCAGTGACTGCAGCACCTCAGCAACAGTGGAAGGAAGGGAGGAAAAGGGCCCAGACTCCCTGTTTATACTGTCAGTGCAGGGGTGCTACAGGACCCGTTCAGAAAAGATGTCTCGGGGCAGACTAAGCATAAGCAAGACGAAGAGCAGGCCGTGTCTCTTTTTTCCAGAGCATGCCCTCCCTCTCCTTCTTTCATTCCTCGAGGTGCATCTCTCTCCCTCTTTTTCTTAAGCTCCAAGGACCCTTCTACTACCTCTATAACTTTCCATAAACTTTCCTTTATTAAAAAAAAGAGAGCCCTGCCGGTTTGGCTCAGCGGTTAGAGCGTCGACCTGCGGTCCTGAGAGACCCGGGTTCGGTTCCCGCTAAGGGCGCATACCTCGGTTGCAGTTTGTCCCTGGCCCTGGTCGGTTGTGCGGGTGGCAGCTACTCGATGTGTTCCTTTCACATCGATGTTTCTCTCTCTCTCTCTCTGTTCCTCTCTCTCCCTCCCGCTCTATCTGAACAAAAAAGGGAAAAATGTCCTCTGGTGAGGATAAAAAAACAAAAAAGAGAAAGAGAGAGAGAAAGAGATGCTCCCACGGGCTAATTGAAAAACTCCTTAGGTAAATTTAAACTCACCACTTGGAACAAAATATTCCAAATTACGAAAAGACATTCATAATATATTGCAATGGTTTTAAGAGGCATATACAGCTATTTTGGTTTTTTAACGTAAATATAAATAAGATGTACTAAAAACATATACACATTTACTGGCTAAAAGAAATGGACCAAATGTTAGTAGTGACTATCTCCTGTTGACGAGATAATAATTTGCATTTGAATCTAATTCTCAAGATGTTCCAAATTGAACACAGTGAACATATTTTTAATTTATAATAGGTGAAAGTATAAATATATATATATATTTTTAATCCTCATCCGAGGATATTTTTCCATTTTTTGTACAGATAGAGTGGGAGGGAGAGAGAGGAAGGGAGAGAGAGTGAGAAACATCGACGTGAAGGGACACATCAAGTGGCTGCCACCCGCACGACCAACCAGGGCCGGGGACAAACTGCAACCGAAGTACGTGCCCTTAGCGGGAACCGAACCCGTGTCTCTCCGGACCGCAGGCCGACGCTCTAACCGCTGAGCCAAACTGGCCAGGGCAAAAGTATAAATGTTTTTAATGTTAGTCCTTCAACCAAGAAAACAACAGGCAAGCTGAGCAGTTTCAGTTTAGCACTACTAAAGTAAGCAATAAATAATAAGTAAAATAAAAAATATGTTTTAATGACAGCAAAAAGGCATGAAAACTAGAGTTGAAAAACGATCATTTCTTTCCACTCCCTCATCTTCATATGAAAACCGTTAAACCCAGAAATCGTGAGGTAAAGACTTCGGGTCAATGGCAAGGTTCCAGCAGCTGTCAAAAGGTTTCTTTCCAGGAATGGGGATGTTTGTTTCCTTTTTTTTCTCTTTCTTTCTTTTTTTTTTTTAAGGAGAGAGGCCCTTTAAAAACCGCTGTTGTCAAATGTAAAGCTGAGCTGGCTGAAGTCAGGTTGGAGGGGGTGAACAGGCCCAACAACCAAGTCACCGCGCACTACACCTGGGCTTGCACACTCACACAGTAAACTCCTGCTGGGCCACGGGGGCCCAGCCCTTGTACGGGACCTGACCAGCGCTCGCAGCTGAACACAACCAGGGATGCACGTGCGGGAGGCAGCGCTTTAAAAATCGACCTGAAAGATAGTATCAAACAAATTAACTTCCCAGGGTCCCAAGGGGGTAAGGCCTCGGGGGAAAGGGATTTCGGGCTTCCCGGAGGCGGCGTGCGGACTCCTCCCGCCCGGCTCGCCGCACGCGCCCTGCGGGCTCCTTCTCTCCCACTCGGAGCCCCGTCAGGACGCGACAGGGTCCCCTACACCTCCGCTATTGGTACCAGTAGGCGCGGGCCCGGGTCCTCACCCCAGCTCCCCACGCCCTCCAGCCAGGCCCATCGGCTCCCGCCGCACCCCACCCGTGCACCCTGGACTCCCCGCCGGCCTAAGCGCGACGCCTACGGCCTCGGGGCCTGCAGCCCGGAGACCCTCGAGTCCCCCATACGTGGACACACCCCACCCAGGGGCCCCACACGCCCCAGCCTCCGGCCCCACACGCACCCCAAGCTCAAACCCGCAACAACGCCGGCACCGACTCCCCAAGTCTCCGACCTCGGACGCGCAGGACCCGGAACCACGTGACCCGATCACCCCCACCCCCAGACTCGCCGCCACCCAGCCCCCGACCAGCACAACGCCCCCGACCCGTCCGCTGGATCCCGACCGGCTGCCCCAGAGTGGGTGGCCGCGCGCTCACCTATCACGCGGCGGCGAAGGACAAAGGAAAGGGGCGCTCCCCGCAAGCGTCGGTGGCCATGCGAGTGCGCGCGCTCGTACGCGAGAGGAAGGCTCCTTCGGACTACATTTCCCAGAAGACTCCGCGGCTCCGGTGCGGCGTCCTGGGAGCGCCGGTGGCCTGCGGACGCGAGAGGGCCGCCAGCGCGGAAGCGAGTTGCGTGAGTACGCTTTGGGGAGACACGCAAAGGCTAGGGTTTTAAGCGATTAGGAATCCAAACTCAAAAGTAGGTTAAAAGAAAAAGCCAAATTAGCTTAAGAATTCAACGGAGGGAAACAGAAAAACATTTGTAATACATTTATGGAAAGTAGATAGGAGTTAATCAGTAGAGAAAGGTAAAGCTGATACGTAATTCCAGTAAGTAATTTTATGAAAGAGAGAGAAAAGGGTAGGAGGAAAAAGGGGAGATAACTATAGACACACAGTAAATTGAATGAGGATCCTTTCAGTGCTGATAAATTCGAAATTTTTATGACACAGATGTATCATATTTGACCCAAGAAACGAGAAAGCGTAATCACGAAGACAATTTCAGAGATTCTCTGCTGAAAAGCATCAGTCATTGAGCCTGGGCCCAGTAGCTCAGGTTGGTTAAAGCACAGTCCCCATGTGCCAGGGTTGTGGCTTTTATCCCTGGTCAGGTGATCAGTGCATCAATATGCAAAATAACAATGAGATATTTCTCTCTATCCCGTTCTCTCTAAAGATCAATCAATCAATGAAAATCGGGGGGGGGGGGGTAAGAGAAAGCATTAATCATTGAGTTTCTGGTGAATTCTTTCAGACATCCAGCAGAGAATTATTATATTTAAATAGTTCCCTGAGGAATTAGAAGAAACCTTTTCTATTTATTAAATAGCGTAGGACACCAAAATCAACAAATGTTATGATGCATAAATAGATGGAACAAATCGGTGTCCCTCTTTCAAATCAATAAATAAAAAGTTTCTAAAACTCTGTGGTGTGTGTATATACTTATACTATCTTCAGCTTGCAGTTAGTTTCTCTACTTTTTGCTGTGAACCCTCCAGTTAGCCATAATTCTACCATCATTTTGTCATTTTTCTTTCTAGTTAAACACTTTCCTATTTCACTGTTTTTGTTAGACACTCATGTTCACTAATTAGCACATCTCCAATCTCAAGTAGTGGAAAATAATCTTGGAAACAG